GAAGGAATCGATATTTTGAAGGATGCAATGACAATCGCATCGGCATGCATGAAACATTTCCGACTCAATCATCTGCAGCCTGAACATTTGGCAATTGTTCCCGAAAAGGGATATGAAAATATTGATAATCAAAGTGAGCTTGCCCTGAAATATTTACAATGGTATGAAGAAACAAAAGGAGTGGAAATACAAAGTGCACATTCGGAAGGTGGCGAACATGTAGTAGATGGAAAATATAAAGTAGATGGATATATAGCGGCAGAAGATAGGGCAATTGAAGTAAATGGCTGTGTTTGGCATGCATGCCAAAAATGCTTTGGAGATGATTTGAACAAAATATTGCCCAATGGAAAAACTGTGGGAGAGACACGTGAAGATGATGGGAAAAGGATGGAAATAGTTAGAAAATATATAAAGAATGTTGATATTATATGGGAATGTGAAATTCATCAGATGCTTCGTCGCAATCAGAAAATGAGGAAAGCTTTTTCAAATTACCACAACAAAGGACCAATCAATATTAGAGACTGCTATTTTGGCGGGAGGACTGGACCACTACACATGCATTTTGACGCAGAAAAAGAACAACACAAAATTGCCTACTTAGACTTTAATTCACTTTACCCCTCAACAATTGCTACAACATCATTTCCGGTTGGGCATCCGAAAGTGCATGTTGTACCATTGGCTGAACAAAAAGTTTATTGGACAAGAAGTGAGCAGATTCCGTTCAAAGGAATTTTAAAAGTATTTTTGCTACCACCGCCTCAACTGGATGTTCCTGTAATTCCAGTTAAGTTTGACGAAAGACTTCTATTCCCACTATGTAGAAAATGTGCACTCATGTACCCAAATGGCGCGAATATCAAAGATTACCATTGCCCGCACAATGATGAGGAGAGAGGTTGGGTCTCTACATGTACATCACTTGAATTGGAAGAGGCATTAAAAGTTGGATACACAGTTACAAGATTTTATAGAGCTTTACATTATGAGAAATGGGATGAAAATTTATTTAAAAATTATGTGGCCGAATTTATGGCAATGAAAATACACGCAAGCGGGTTCCCTGAAGGAATAGAAGGAAAAGAAAATGAGGAAAATTTTATAAAAGAATGTAAAGAAAAATTTGGAATTGAACTTCAAAGAGAAAAAATGGTTCCGGATCAGGCAATGCGCTACATTTCAAAATTAATGCTTAATTCGTTATGGGGAAGGTTCAGTTTACGGAATGGTCTGTCAAAGAGTTTAATCATCAACTCCCCCAATGAACTACGTGAGTTTGACAACAATAAATCAATTGAAATACAATCTGCTGATGATCTAACTGAAGATACTGTTCTATTGACCTATAAGCCAAGAGAAGAATTTATAATAGAACATGACACTTCAAATATTGTGATTTCCTTATGGACAACGTCGGCAGCAAGAATTAGATTATTAAAAGCAATGCAAACTGTAGCAGGAAAACTTGACTGCAATCTTCTCTATGGGGATACCGACAGTATATTATTCTCTTACCCAAAGGACATGGAATGTCCGCTCCAAACCGGTCCCCATCTTGGTGATTTGGCACGAGAGTACGCAGGATTTGAAATAAAAGAATATGTTGGAGGGGCATGCAAGGCTTATGCACTGAGAATGGAAAACAACAAAAATGCAAAAACAAATAGTGTTCTGAAAGTACGTGGTATCACTTTAACAGCAGATGTCTGTAAAATTTTGCACTTTGACACTTTCAAAGAAAGCGTACTTAAATATGCAAATGGGGGAAACGAAGATGAGGAAGATTATGAATTGGATAGAGGAGAAATTATGATTGAAAATCAAAATTTTATACGGCGGAATGTGAAAGATGGTATAGTTTACTCAACTAAGATGAGAAAAATATATAGACCAATGATACAAAAGGGGATAATTTCAAAAAATCTCAAAATTGTAAATTTTGGACAAAAATAATTTTTCAATTGTATTGTAATATTTCACAATATTTTTTCAATTGAATCTTTAAATTTTCATAATGTTTTTAAACAGTACATTGTTATTTCAAAATTTTTTAAATTGTATTTAAATTTGTTGATAAAATTGTTATATTAATAAATTTTTAATTTAATTTTAGGGTTAAAAGATAAGGTTATGAAAAAAGTTAAGGATTATAAGATAAAACTGATTTAAAGTTAAGGATTAAGAGATACAATTGTTGTAATCTTAAGAGTTAGAAGATACAATTGATGAAAAGTTAGCAATGGAAGTTTAAGCCGAAGGATGTAACCTTATATTGCAATCGCCCAAACGGAAAAAAGAAGTGACGTTTGATCAATATATGAAATTCCTCAACATTGTGTTTTTCGTATGAGGTCAGAAGGGATGAATTTCAATATTTTACACAAAAACAAGTCTGTAATGCAAAACAGTTCATCAACGGCAATTAACAGATGAGTGACAAGGAATTTTTGTCAAAGTTTTCACAGAAGGCTCAAGTAGACGATAATTAAACGATAATAATTATATATATTAAAAGATAATTCAATTACCTCTCTTAATCATTAATCATTTCTATTTATATTTTTAATTCTCAACAAATAATTTAAACATGAACTATCAGATATTTTCAAATAAAGATTTAAAATTAAAACTTCCATTCGGTTGTATTATTAGCGGCCCAAGTTCAACTGGGAAAAGTACATTTGTCCGAAAATTAATTTCTAATTCTCATCAACTTATTGAACCTATTCCAAAATCCATTCTTTACTGCTATGGGGAATATAATTCTCTTGTACCCGAGCTACAGCGAGCTGGAGTCTCAGTCTATTCCGGAGTTCCCCCTGAGGATCTTATTAAGAAACAAGAACAACCTTCACTAGTCATTCTTGACGACCTAATGTACTCAATTGACGAAAAATATTTATCCGAACTTTTTACAAAGAAATCTCATCATCTTAATTTTGGCATAATATTCATCACTCAAAATCTCTTCGAGAAAAAGCTTAGGGTTGCACGACAAAATTCTATGTATATTGTATTAACTCGCGCACCGAACAGTGCATTGGCCGTTCGAAATCTAGGAGTACAATTATTCCCAGGAAGATTAAACTATTTTCTAGACGCATATCGACAAGCTACAAGTAGCAGTAATTATTCATATCTATTTATTGATTTACACCCAGCATCAGATCCAACACTTAGACTAAGAACAAATATATTTAAAGACAAAGAAACAGAAGACAATTATTATTCATTCCCTATTATATTTTTACCCAAAAATTCCTCAAATTAAATCATGTCAACAAATATTGGTCAAATTGTTAAAGACAATTTTCAATTTCTCAAACAACTCGCACAAACACGCTCATTAATTAAAAGAAGAAAACTTTTAAAAAAAGCTTCAACAGATCAGTTACTCTCCCTTACTGAAATTTGTTTTAATATAGTACGCGATCAATTTAAACTAAATAAAAGGCAAAAATCTCGTCTTCTACCATTCGCTGATTTTGTTCGCCGTGTGAGCAGATTAAAAACAGAAAAAGGCGCCCGGCGTACGGTAATACAACAAGGTAGCGGTTTACCAATTGGTTTATTTCCTGCCCTCCTAACCCCAATTATTATTGAATTGACAAAGACATTGACAAACAATTTATAAAAATGGCAAATAAATTTATATTAATTCCTGAGGATATATATCGCGGACTACTTACTCAACCTACACCAGAAACTGGAAATATCAATTTGGATTTTACTCGAGAAAATTTGGAAACTATTAAAAGACAAAATGCCAACACAGAATTAAAAAATATAAATTATAATCAGGAATTGAGACGGTATTTACACATGTTGAAGGAACAAAATGATAGACCAATGAATGTTTCAATAGGACAAATGCAAGACCCAGCCCTGGAGCAAATTAAAAAATTACTTCCCCTACTACAAACAAGCTCCAATGAAAACCGTACAGTAACCGAAAGCCCCCAAAAGACTTTTAGGCAAAATATTACCACACCAAAATTGACCCCGTTAGAAGAAGTTACTGAATTAAATGAGGATGATCTTAGTATGCACACGGCAGAGGAGGAATCTCCTGATTCCAATGAAAAGAGTGAGCCAAAAAAGACAACAATAAAGGAAAAAACAAAGGAGATTTTTGAAAATATGAAACAGGAAAATCTAGATAAATATGACGTAAGCACAGATGGAAAGATTTTAAGTAAGAAGGGAGGAAAAGAAATACAGGGAAGCAATGCTCAAAAATCTATAGAGTGCATTCTTCGAACTGGAATAAGTGGGAAATTGAGATGGGGTGAATTGACACCACCTGGAACATCTGTTTTAGAAAATAAATTAAAAAGTGATAATAAAATTTGGCCGTTGATAGAGAAGGCTAGGGAGCATTGTACACCAAAAAGAACTTATTCAAAACAAAAAAGAAAAATACCCGAATCCAAGGAAATAGCTGAATCAAAATGGAGACTTCCCGCAGAGTGGAAATGATTTTAGATAAGCTTTACAATGATCCATCAAATCCGGCAGGATTTGCTGGTGTAAACCAACTATGGACAGAGGCTAGGAAAAAAGATGCGATTATTAAAAAGAAGGATGTTCAGCAATATTTAGAAGGTCATAGAACATATACAATTCACCGTCCTAGACGCATACACTTTAAAAGATCAATAACATATCCTTCTGGATATATGACAGATGTTCAGTGCGACTTGGCAGATTTTCAAAAGTTATCGCGGCAAAATAATGGAAACAAATATGCACTTGTTGCAATAGATGTTTTAAGTAAAAGAGTTTTCGCTGAACCTGTGCGCACTAAAAAATCAAATGATATGATTGATGCATTTGAAAAAATTTTGGCAAGAATGGAAATGCACCCCCACCGAATTTTTAGCGATAATGGAACAGAATTTTGCAGCAAAGAAATTATGGACTTTTTTAGAAAAAAAGATATTGAAAAATACACGGCAACTTTCTCAGAAGTCAAAGCATCTCTAGCTGAAAGATGTATTCGGAACATTAAACAGAGATTGTACAGGTTTATGAGTGAGAAGCATACATTAAAATGGGCAGAAGCATTACCGAAAATAGTTGACGCAATAAATCATTCAAAGTGTAGGGTTTTAGGAGGATTAAGACCGGTTGATGTAAGCTTTAACAATGCAAAGGAAATCAGAGAAATGGTATTTGGTCCTATTGGCAAAAATAAACCTCGAAAAAATCCAAGATTCAAGGAAAATGATTATGTGCGTATGAGCAGAAGTAAAAATATATTTTCAAAAGGTTATCTCCCAAATTATAGTGATGAAATTCTTCAAATAGATCTTGTTAAAAAGAAAGCTAATCCAAATAGATACCGCGTCCGTGACGATAATGGAGAATTGTTTAAAGGATATTTCTACCCTGAGGAACTGACAAAAGTAAGAAAAGATGAGAATACTAGTTACAGAATTGAGAAGATTATTAAGAGCAGAAAGAAAAAAGATGGAGGAAAAGAATATCTTGTAAAATTTTTTGATTATCCCCAACCCCATTGGATAGATGAAAATCAATTTGTATAAAAGGCCAATTTTTCATTCCCCATAAATCATTTTTACATTTTTTAATTTAATTTTCATTTTATTGTTCATAATTATTATTAAAATAAATAATGGCTAATACATTCTTTGTTGTTCTTCCTAGTAATGTTAGTGATTACCCAGATAATAAACCCAATAAATACAGAGTGCATCTCCCTAAGCCAATAGAATTTCAAGGTGGAAACTGGGTATGTGGGCTCTACAGTATCCAATACCCCCAGTCATGGGCTGCAACCATTGGCACCGATGTTAAACAATGGATCGAAATTAATTACAAAAGCAAAAAACCGATTAGAACAGGAATTCCCAAAACAACACAGTTAACACCCAACGGACTCAGCTTCTTTTTAAAACTTGTATTATCCAATAAGGAAAAGTCTAGGAAAAGACGTGATGTATCAATCGATACTTTAGAGGATGAAATTATTATTAGGCCAGAAATTAATTTAATTGAAGATCCAATTAGGAAACGAAGAAAGAGAGAGGCAGATAGAGATACCGTACCATTATGGGTAAAGGAATTTTTTAATACGTATCCACACAATTATTGGGAAGCCATACGAGATTATGAACAAGAATTAGAACAACATAAAGTCAAAGTAGAGGAAAAAACAAAACAAGTTATTAATGAAGAGGATTATATACAGAAGGAAGAATTTCAGCAAGAACTTGAACACCTACATTCCCTTTCAGAAGGCAAAAAGAAGGAAATTCGTCTTTTAACTGACGAAGCTAATAAGCGAGATAGACTTGATGATCGACTTATAGCAAATCAGTTTCTAGAACAGCACCCAGATGATTATCACGAGCAAGTAATAAAAATGGAAATAAATATAATAGTAAGATACATTGAACTAGAAGATAAAATTAAAGCGAGCAGGGATGAGGGCGGTAAAAATGTTCGCTCTGGTGAAGAAATTCAAAGGTTTATTAATTCGATAAAACGTATGCGAAAAAACTTGGAAGCACTCGAATCTGCAATAATTGAAAGAGAGTTGAAAATTAATAGAGATGAGTTTAATCAGCAAAATTCAAATACTCACTCAGAATTTGTCCAAAAATTTTTTGACGACCACCCTGAAGATCATTGGGCAGCTTTGAAGAAAAATTTAGGGGATCTGCAGGAATTACACAGACAAATTCGAGAAAAAAGAGATTTACATTCTCAAGAACAAGATGAAGAAGAAAAGAATAAATTAAATAAGGAGATTGACAATTTAAATAAATTGGCTTCATACAGACGAAATAGATTTACAGCGATACATCATGCGGCCTATAAGAAATGGAAAAATTTTGAGCTGCCAATTCCACCAACTAAAAATGAAATTAAGGAAATGCAAAAAATTGAAGAGAAAACTCATCCAGAATATTTAGAGAATGTCCTAAATGTAGAACCAGTACCAATTCCTGCTCCCGTAATTACAGATGAAATGCTTGAAGTTGTCAAGGACAGACATGGATATGAGCAGAACAAGGTCAAAGAGTCAGAAGAAAATGAAAGAAAGGATAAAGAACTGAAAGAAAGTAAGGAGAAATTGAAGCATGCAAGAAGAATAGATAAGCATGGCGATCCTATACCTCCTGACTCGCAAAGTGTTGAAGAGGAAGATTTAGCTGAGGAAGAAAGTTTCGAAAAAGAGGAAGAAGGTTGGGAGGAAATAAACAGAAAAAGTCCAGTTTTAGATTTGGATTCAAAAGAAGAAATTATACCAACAGATGAAATATTTGATGAGCAAAAAGATGAGAAAAATACTGATGATCTAATTAAAGAAAAGACAGTTAAAATGATTGATGAAAAGGAATCTCACTTAAAAGATTTACATTCGGACATTGAATTTGAATATTTGGACAGCATTGATCGCTTTAGAGTAATTTTCAATGATCCTGAGATTAGAAACATCACAATATCTTCACAATTATGTTATGTTCTCGGCTTTCCCATGGGCCCTTTGGTAAACGGACAAATTGGAAAATATGGCATTGATCTTAAAGGAGGATTCACAAGTTTTGCTGTCTATTCAAAGGGGTTAACGGGAACTGTAATTATGGGAAATTCTGTCAGTTCATTACTTAGAATTGTAGCCGTCGAGAATAGGTCTGGCGGAGTTGTTGAAAGAGTGTATGATCAACCAATGTTCATACCAGTGCTGCCTAGAGAGATTAATGAGATTGAGATTGAACTAAGATGGATGAATGGAAGTCTTGTGAAATTTGATCACGGAACTGTAATTATTACTCTAATGTTTAACAGAATGATTAAATTTTAATAAAAATTTTGAAAATTTATTATATATTTTTTATCATTTTAATAATAAAAGTAAAAACAAATTCGTCTGGCTTTGAATAATTTAATAATAAGGATAGGAATTTTTTATAAGTGTATCCAGAAGAAATAAAATAAATGAAGGTGATACAATGTTGACCACAAGTAGGTAAAAGAGGGTTTTGAAGGGGAACATTATTCATTACACGTTTTGGAAATTTGGAAATAAAATTTTTTATTGAAATTGGTGGGTTGGGGAGTAATAATGAATCAAAAATAAGTATCTTCTCAGGGTTCATTATGAAAAATGCAATCCAATGTGATCCATTTTGAGAAGCCCTTTCTAGGTTGACGACCATTGAACAAGGATATTTTTGAATTTCTTGTGGAATTTTGTCTGCTGCAAAGCATCCAATAAAATATCTCTTAGTTATACTGTTGTGTAATAAAATTTTCTCGATTTGTAACGTGTCCATTTTAATTGAGGAAGGAGATGTTTATATCTCTCTTTATATTTCTTCAAGTTCAACGTCCTTGCTGTCGTTTTTATTCTTTATTAATTTTCTTAGTTGATATGTTAAAGCTATAGCTAACAATAAAAGCCAGAGTATAATCAATAAAACGCAGTAAATAGTTTGAGCGATTGATGTTCCTGATGATGGAAATTCCTTGCAAAGTGAAGGAAATTGTACATTGTTCACATGTTCCATTGATGAAAAATCCAAAATATTAATATTGGTTTTAGGATTAGAATTAGAGACTAGTCTAGTGTTATTTTGAACTCTTTCAGGAATTATTGGGTAATTTTTTGAAAACGAATTGATAAGTTCGATTGATTTAGGAGGTATTGTATTTGCATAATAGCCTATACGTTCTCTTAATTTTTCTCTGTATTCAAGATTATCCTTTTCATTAATCATCGAATATTGTAGTGATAATTTATACAGAAAGAAAAATAAAATAATACAAACAAAGCTAAATTCAATTTTAATAGTAATATGAAACATTTTTGAATGAAATTGAGAAAAAATGAAAAAAATTACGAGAATTTATACTGAAATATCTGTGGAAATTGTTCTGTTTCTATCTAACATTAGCAGTGAATCGATTTCACCCATAGCTACTAGCACAATCCCACCATTTGGAACCGGTTCATTGAAGGTCATTTTTATACTAGTTGTACCATTCTTTATTAAATCAAACATCTCCGGTCCATTATCTTCCTGGCTATTAGTAAGATTAAATACTAGCAGACAAAACCCCCCATTTGAAAAACGTTGCATTGAAATTCCATTACTTTCTAAGGCCCCCGCGTATCCTATAGCCTCCTGCATATCATGATATATTCGCACATATTTTCCATTTGGAAAATCAAGAGAATACGGGGCAGCTGGAAAAGTAACTCCCCCAGCAGTTATGGAAATATCTCGTAAATTAAAATGTTGAAAATTAAAAGGATGCGTCTTTTGAGATCCAACAAAATCGGCATTTTTAACCATTCCAAAGACCACTCTCCTCGGTACTTGATCCATCCATAGATTAGCATTAAATTCTGTCCTGTTCTCGCTTATGAATAATGATTTTAACGAAGTTTTTCTCATTGGATATCGTGCTGGTTTCAATTCTAATTTCTTTGCTATATCGAAGGCAAGACTATCCATTAGCTCAATTTTTTTGATAAATAATTTGCATGCAAGTACTTCTAAATGATAATTATGATTAGTGGCTCCTGGAGCAACAATAAGAAAATTTGATTCATTGGGCAAAAGCTCAATATCTACTTCACACTGATTAATTAGATACCGAGGTTGATTGCAAATGTCTACGTCTAATTTTGCCATGAATTGAGCGGATTTTTGTATACCATCAGCTGATGGTGCAAATAAGATTCTTCTATTCTCAAACCCAACACCATTAAGCCCCATATCACCATCATCGTAATATCCTGCGGCGGATAAGTATGAATTTTTTACTGTCTGTGGATACGTAAGTTCATAGTCGAAAATACTTTTATATGCCATAAGTGAATTTCCTTCAAAGATTTGGGTTCCATTTATACTGATACGGCAATTTTTCCAAATTGTATGTCCAATAAGTTGGCAACAGGAAACATTGTTGTCTGCAGCCTCCAAATTGGTTAGACGTCCATGTTCATCTTCTTTCCGAATTCTTAACTCGGTAAAAATATAGCACTTTGATAGGTCAATATAATTTGTGCTTGCGTGGATTTTGAAATGAAAAGGAGTTATATTTACAGGGTTAAGTGTGAGTAATTCGATAAATGATGAGTTGCTAATACTAACATTTGTATGAGGAGTTTCGAAAAATGATAAAGCATTTGTTATCGCGTTGCCAGAATCACGATCAATTTTCTGATGAGTAGACATTTTTATTTAATAAAGACCGAAAGTATCTATTTTTTGACGTTTCTTTTTTGAACTATGAGACGGTTTACCAATAATGATTTGATGACTTTTTTCTTTTGAAAATGATGAATGGGGTTTACGCTTTCTTTTGAGTCCTTTTATACTATCACTCTCTTGCAATCCGGTTCCAAACTGCTTTGGCATTCCACCCTTCTCAAGTAATCTATCTAATCCACGTCTTCCTTCACTAATTACTGTTTGTTTAAAATTTGGTTTAAATGCTTCCTGATCATATTCTGGGTTTCCCACACTTTCTAAAATTCTTCCTCCAGTATCCAATGCTTCTTTTGCTA